GTACTACCTTTATTTCGTATCCACGTGGGACAAAAAGAACGTTAGAAGTTCTCTACAGTTTACAATGTATCTGATGAAGTTAAACAGCTGATTTGGTCAAACATAAACTCATGACAAAATCTCGATCGTCATAATTAAAACCAATCCATTCTCTCCTGCACCCTTTGTCTTTGCACTAGTGGATCATATTCCGAATCATTGCTGGAACCGTCTTCAAATACTATCATTCGTAATCGCCGAGCCGTAACAACACTTCGGAGGTACATGCACGTTGAAAACTGAGCTTACTCCGTATACTACCGGACGGATTTTCGCGGTATAAGTTACTCTCGTGTAAGCGATTTACACTCGAGTAAAGTGTTGGTGAAACGCTCCAAGAAGTTACTCTCGAGTAAACATGATTTACTCCAGAGTAAACTCTTACTCTTTGTTTGGTGAAACCGGCCCTAACAGCATGTGACTGGGTCACTGTTCCACTATCCGCGACGCAATTAATGTCTGTTGGCAGTTCCGCGGAGAGGATGGAGGAGAAAGAAGGTTCGGTTTTAGTGAGTAAAAATATCCTACGCTGGGTAGTACTGGATACCCAATGTCTTATGAAGATTTCCACATATCCTCTTAAATACACACACAAATAAATGTGTGGGTGGAAAAATGTTACTAGTCCAATACCGAGCACCCCAAAGGAAAAGTAATATTAATTTTAACAACGACATTTAGTGTATTATTTACCACTTGGATTGTATAATTCTAAAGGACCTGTACCAAGTATTGTACTTCCGCTTCTGGGTCAATGACCCCACCTCGATCAGGTTTTCGTCCAGTTTCCCTGATCCTTGAGCAAATGCTGAGATGTCCCCTTGTTTTGCTTCTGGACATAAATGTAACTTCAAATTAACTTCTCATAGCACTTCTCATAACTGTTTTTGACGTAAATAAATAAATATTAGTCATTTTATTACGGAAATTCGTGCAGGAGGCATAGAACAATGTGTTGAAAACAGTTCAATATGAGGTCATCTGACTTCAAATCCAGCAGCTCGTTCCTTTGTTGAGTGAATGAACTGAATCAGTCCTGGACATGCACTGCTCTATCCCCGAGGACTCGTACCGCTCGCAGCGGATGGATCGCGTTCACGGGGCTCATGTAATCGGCTTCTTTCGTAACTGATCGAGAGTGAGCCCGTGAGTGAAGAGCAAGAGGCGAGGGGAACCGAGCCAGTAAGTTTCCTTATTTGGCGATTAGAATTACTATTACTCGTGCAACGTTTCTTGAACGGTGTTTTGAAGAAATGCAGGTAGAGTGGGGTATTAGTTACGAAATCAGCCACTACATTTTATGAAGCAATGCCAGTCTAGAGAATTAGCTATGCCTTCGCGACTTTCTCAACAATTTGCGTTCTAAGTTTCTCAAGAGTTCGAGGTATCTCCTGTGATGGATCTAAACATGCTTCGGTAATTTCTTTACGTTTCTTGGAGAAAATAATAGATAGTTCTCGTCTTCAACACAAAATAATTTCAAATTCGCGCCAGTGAAGATGTATTTGAGTTGTCATCGGTGTCACTGCGAGCTTTTGCCATCAACTGTTTATTGTGGAAGAGAAGCAAGGTCATCGTGCAAGTAAAGTTGCGCCATTAACGTATGAAGAAGTGGTACGATTTTCAATGAGCAAACGGCATTTACACCACAAAATTGAAATTCACAGAGGTGCAGAAGTCAAAATTATTATATACTTACCATAATACATGTAGTTCGTACAGGTATTGTGTACACCAGGACTGAAGTGAATATAATAATTGAACTTGATATTCACAATCCAATGGTATTTTGAACATCATAATTTTTAAGTTTGTAACATATCAGCAATAAATATTTAATATAAATTGAATTAACAGCTAAGATAACAGTGATAGCGCATGGGTCAATTATAGGTCGTCAGCGGTGGCGAGCACACAGTGTTCCAATACCTGCACGAAAATGGGCAAATAAACAGATAATAAGAAAACACATACAAAATAAATTTCTAACACTAAAATTCCCTTTTAGAAAATCCAACGATTCAAGACACTAATGAAACTAAATGTATAACATTCTGACTGTCACATTGGGTCATATGAATAAAAATTAGCACTTGCTCCAGAGCAAAGTGAGTCTACTCCGCGGCATTGAGCAGAAGCTCCATTTCGTATGAATAAAAACTTCGTTTGTCTCCGAAAAACTTGCTCATGTCAACGCTCTGCGCTTTGTATAAAGCTTATAGCGGTCATCCAGCTTGGAAAGAAATTAATCGGCGGCCAAGTATTCCTACATACATCAGTAGGGGGATCACAGGCACAAAATAAATTTAAGACCGCAGTGAACACATGTGGGGAAATTTTCTTTTACAAATCGAACGATCAAAGAATGGAACACATTGCCTGCAAAACCTTTGAACCCTTTCATCGTAGCGTACAACTGTTTAGGAAATTAATTTAGGGCATTACTAAATAAATGAGGGACTTAGCTGACAATAGTAGGTTACAGAGCGATGCGTAAGTAATATAGGGAGTGATTAAAGGGTTGTAGTGAAGTGAAGTGCAGTTGAACAAAAATTAATTGCGGAGTTTGATTATGATGTTTCTTTTTTTAAGGTAATTTTAAAAGTTTTATGAATTAGATTTTACATCATAATTACTTTTATTATTATTGTATTATTATTATTATTATTATTATTATTATTATTATTATATAATTAGCATATCAGCTGTATTATCTTATTTATGTAATTAGCTGCTGCCGGGTTATGCCCATTTGCAGTTCACATAAATTTATCCTTATCTTATTTATGTCTCGCGATCATTTGCTCGTCGTGAACAAGAGATAGTGGAGGCTAAGAGTTTTAAAAATTGGTTTCTTGAGCAACAAAGAGGTTACATACGTTACGTACGTCGCACACATTTGTGCGGAGCAAAGAGCTATGTTTTGTCTCGTTCTTTAAATTCGAATATGAGTAGCAGTATCGAAAAACAGGCGCCAGAGGCCAATCTAGTTTTTGCCAAAATACTAAGCGAATATTAAATCATTTTTGGAAAGAGACAACTTTCGGAGGTACGCTATGGCCGAAACGAAACATTACAAAGTTTGAAAAAACAGTGCCCCGAAAAATTCCAAGTAGAAAAGAGCGATGGCCAATTAACATAGAAGATATGCAAATATGAAAACGTGCTTTGAAAGCAAAGCCGGATAAAAACTCGTACCAACCATACATTGTTCCTTTTCGAATCTGTAAAGATTCTAATAGTCTACATCACGAGAATTTCGCCTTATCTTGTTAATTTTTTAGTCCTCTGCATCTGCATATCAACGCACGTAAAAAAATCGGCCAATTTTACCTTAGTTTTCCAAACGTGAGTCTGCTACTAAGGTTCCATCCGAATGTTGGAAGTGCTCAATCTACACGGTAAACACTTAACTTTATTCATACCAATTCTGAGCATTTGCTCGCCAATTGAGAAGTTATGCTCCAAGATGGAGCAAGTGCTATCACTTTATTCATACGAAAACTGAGAGGATCTCCTAATCGGGGCAAAGAGTTAATTGCTTACTTTCATTCATACCAACCACATTCAGCTTTCCATTTCCTTGGCCTCGGCTAGCTATTCGGACTTGGCCAATTCTCTTGCCAGTTGCATCTGTTCGCCGCCCAGAAGTACGTTTTTGTAAAACGTTTCTTTATTTTCGTTTCCTCAACAGTAGAACGAAAATATTATTTCCAGAATGTTAAAGAACCAGTAAAACTGCGTCTAACTGGCATTTTCATAGAAAAATTTGGAGGCCTTTTAAGAAAATGGCATTTAAGCGCTCTGTAAATTCGACATTTGAACTCTCTTTTTCACAGAAAACTATTGGAGTTTTCGAAACGAATTCATGATGAACAGTTTAAGCACTCTAGTCCAAATACAATAGTGTTTTAAAATAGCTCGAAATGTGGGCAATTTAAAGGCGTGAGACATCTTTAAAAAATTACATTTATTTAATGCTAAAAAAACGTGAATACAGGAAAAATTAATTCTATATCATATTCGACAGTTGCATTAGCACTACTGAAAACGTGATGTGAAATATTTTGAGGGTCGTTTTTTGATAAAATGGTGTTTGAGCTTTGTCTGACAATGCGAGAATTTTGACCTAATTTCCATGAAGAAGAATTTAGCATCAAGATTTATCTATTTCTCCGTTTTCCCATATCTCTGGCAAAAATTTTTTTTCTGGCGAAATTTCGCCTTTTCGATCTCCTTACGAAGAATTTTGTAAAAGCGAGAAAGTAAAACAATAAGGTAAGCTTTTACTTTTTCAGAAAGCTACGTGAACCTGGAACACGCTTACTTGGAAAGTTTCGACGATCACTGCTGATAAGGAAAATACTGTACAGATAATCACAAACCAAACCTAAGAAGGCACCTTTTCACTCTTCATTGTAAACCCACATTCCTCCGAAATTATGTACGCACTTATGTCCGCAACGAAACGTACGTTTTGTTTGTGTTTTTTTTGTTTGGTTTTACATCAAAAAAGTTAAAAACTGTATGTGACGTGCTTATGGGAGATAAGTTAAGATCTGAAGTTACATTCTGTCCAGAAAGCACAACAAGGGTCATCACGGATTTGCCTCGAGATCAGAGAAATGGACGAAAACCTGATCGAGAATGGAGGTCATTGGAAACCCCCCCCAGAAAAGCTGAAGTACAAAACTAGTTACAGGTTCTTTACCAATTATACAATCCAAATTGATGATACAATAATTAATTGTCATTGTTAAAGTTAATGTTTACTTCCCTTTTGGATGCTCAGTATGGTCAATAATTGTATAGAAACAGTTGTGCAGCAGAAAAGATTTTACATGAGACTTAAAACTTTTGTATCGAATTTAATCATTTAATGTTACCTGGCAAGGTGTTGTAAAGTAATGTACATGCATTATAGGTGAAAAATTTGTAGTGAGCTGTTGATACGTCGCACACATTTGTGCGGAGCAAAAAGCTATGTTTTGTTGTCTCGTTCTTTAAATTTAAAATATGAGTAGCAGGAACGATAACAAGCGCCAGAGGCCCATCTAGTTTTTGCCGAAATGCTAAGCAAATATAAAATTATTCTTGAAAAGGGCCAGCCTCCGGAGGTACGCTGAGACCGAAACGAAAGATTACAAATTTGAAAAAACAGTACCCCGAAAAATTTCGAGTAGAAAAGAGCGACGGCCAATTAATATAGAAGATATGCAATATGAAAACGCGCCTGAAAGCAAACGCCGATAAATATCGTACTAATCGTACTTTGTCCTTTTCGAATAGGTAAAGATTCTAATAGTCTCCATCATGAGAATGTCGTCTTCTCTTATATTTTTTTAGTACGCTGCATTGCATATCAACACACGGTAAAAAAATCGGCAAATTTAACCTTACTTTTCAACCGTGAGTCTGCTACTAAGGTCCATCCGAAATGTTGGAAGTGCTCAATCTACACGGTAAACGCTTTATTTTATTCATACCAATTCTGAGCATTTGCTCGCCAGTCTCTGACCGTTTGCTCACTTTATTCATACGAAACTGAGAAGGATCACCGAAACTCGCAGCAAAGAGAAATTGCTAACTTTCATTCATACCACCCAATGTGTTCAAAGCCAAGTTTATAAACAAGCATTTAGGGTTTGATGTGTAATATCGCACATTCAGGTTCAACTACTGATAGGAACTGTGAACGACTGACGGGAATTATTTTGTCAAGTCTGCCTCCAAAAGATGGAAGAGAAAAGAATAATAACAGACCTTATGCTATCAAGTACAAAATCCTGTAAAGATAAAGAACACAGAATCCTTTCCACGAAAATTGCACACTACTCATCAGATTATGCCAAGTGAATTGAACGCCATAACAGCCTGTCCACAAAAAATATCGTAAAACGGAAAATATTATAATATATGAGCTCAAAGTGAGCTTTGGACGATCCCAAGTTACATTTGTTATGTGACTCGCTTCCAACAGTACCATGTAGTATTTTACATTGTCATTTTGCAAGAAAATTGGTCCAGAGGTCCAGAAAGTCCAGAGGTTTTGTTTAAATTAAACACATTATTAATGAAGTTTTATCGCAATTATTCCAGAACATTCATAACACTTGGTACAATATATCTGAAATAGGAAAAATGTTTAAATACCAACAGGTTTTTTGTTATATATCAAAAGGTATGTCTTGAATTATTTCAAAACGAACTTTCTGGACTAGTAGTTCTTCTACTACCACTTCCCCCACAAACACTATTTTCATCGTTAGTTGCAGTAAAACAATGTTTGTAAACTACATAATTTGATCCTGACTGAAGTCATTGTGAATATAATTATCACTTATATGAAGATGAATGTGGAATACAATGTGACCTCTCATTCCCAAAAACAACAATAATTGTCCTGGCATTTCTGTTTTCTAAGACATTTTTCTTTCGCAGACAAAAGTAGAAAATCTAAAAGAAGTTAATGACATGAGAGTAAAGTTACAGCTATAACTATCATTTTTTCACTACTTTATTTCTAAAGTAGTGAAATACAGTTATCATAAGAGCCCTTTTCTCCATGGTATCTTTGATTCTTTTACATACATACAGTATGAGACACAATGATTTACAACTCTTAGCATGTCTTGTCATCTATTGATGGCTCTCTGAATTACATAAACACAGCTACCACCAATAAAATAAAAGTAGTTGCTTAAACAAGAGAGACTGCATAAAATGTATACCAATGATATCGGAAGATTTATATTCAATCGTGACCGGAAAAGTCACTACAGTATTCCTTACATAAATATATTCACATGTCATTCAATTTCATTGATAATTTTCATTCAAGAATTACAATGGAAGGCTTGCCATTAATTACAATGGAGAGCTCCTATGAAGACACAACATAATGAACTTTTATCAATGGATATCTGCCCTTTCGCTTTACTACAGATTTAATTATTTTTGGCAATAACGATATCATTTCAGAACACATTAGCTGTATTTCTAAATCATTTTCCCATACTCCAGACACAATGGAAATCATTTCTTGTTTAGATGAACACTGAATGTTTTTAACTTTTTCACCAACAAGCTTCCAAGCATGGTATGCAGGGGACAGATCTTGAACATAAGGAGGCTGTCCGGAAAAAAATATGAAATTCATATTTAGTACCTCTAATAGGTTTTCTAAACAAACGTTTTTTATCACTGGAGATTGAAGAGTAACATCAGAACTCTTATAATGATCCTTCACAGGTCTAATAACTTTATTTATAAGCACTTCTCCAGGCTTCAAGCCTCTCAAGGGCCCGCACCCTAAAGGGGCAATTATATTTGGCCCATCAAAGGAACGAAAACCCCAAAAAAGCTCACAGTCTTCTCTGAAGTGATAATTAAAGAACTTAATGCAGTTCCCTTCCAAACCAAACGATGCAAAATCCGAAAACAGGGTATTAAACCATATTCTGTCCATGTTTTTGCCTGCCCATGACTGCCGTTTTGACAAAGATATTCTTGGAAATGAATACTTCCAAGCAATGGACCTTTTACAGACTTCAGGCTTTGGTGTCGATTCTGAAACAATGTTTTCAATTAGAGCACTGTTACTCAGTTACTATGATTTAACAGCCGGTATATCACTGGCCACTTACTTTGAGGGCGAGATGCAAGTGGTTTCTCTTCAATGAGTAATGCCTGACTAGCTGGAACAACCTAAAAATTAAATACCTATTACTTCATAATGCAGAAGACGATTTTGTCAAGATTCATTGCATCCTATATTTCCTATGCCAACCATCCTGCGTGTGCTAAGTCTGTGCCTCACAAGCCCAATTCTGTACGTAGCCCATATTACAAGTGTAATTTTACGAAGAATGATTGAATATTTCCTACATACAATGTACTCACTCGCTGAAGGCAATTTATGTGGCACGACACCTAAAGAACGTGGGATGCTGATAAACAGGCAGAATGATACTAGAGTTCAGCTGAAAATAAAGTTTATCAGGAGTGAGCTACACATAAATACAAACCTATTTAATTGAGACCATGAGTTGGAAAACAGAGTGAGAAAAATTAGAAGACACATTATGTTAACTAGGGTTGGATTTACGTTCTGAAGAACCCAAGCATAAAATTCTGCTCCAGAAAAATCTCCTCCAGATTTGATAAAAACATTTATTAAAATGCAATAACTTTTTGTACACATACAAATCAACAAATTGGTTCCAGAACAAAACATTTTTTAAAAAATTAATATATTTCTCTTTTCTTTTATATGTACGTGTATACACAATAATATACGTAATATAGAGAAAGTTATGTAATGACGCAGAAAATAGATTTCGAGATTTCAACGCAAATACACGCAGGGTGTTCCTGGACCGAAACCTACCGAAAAAGCGTGTTGATAAAAACGTTCGTCTGTGAACACCACTAACGTCTAAACCATACGTAGGATTTCTTCCCAAAATGGACATTCCCGGTCGATCTCGCTCGACTCGAAGCTTTGCGATTTTGAAAAACATTCTTTAAAAGGGTATAACCAGATAAGGCGGAGAAAAAATAGAGATATGGGTGAAAATAGATGCATTTGAAGGTATTTTTGCCAACCAATTTTGACGCCACATTTAAATAGAAAAAATAAATACATTTTTGAAATTGATTTTCGACGTTGGAGTAGTGTCAGTTTATCTCCCTAGAATGTGTTTTGTAACAATCAATAACATAAATTTATGTTTTTAAACAATGTCGACAACAGTGAAAACTACTAAAACCAATTTGATCAGTTTAAAAATTAATTCGCGTTAAATTTTTTTTTTAAAAAAAGTATTTAACAATATTTAAACACATATTCAATCACGACATATGAACTCGAAATATATTTGATGTTACATCGGTTATGTACCAAACTCAATCAGAATATCCACGGTGGAAAGAGATGGGTGGACTCTTGCGCATCCGATTTCAGCCAATGAGCTTCAGGCACCAGTTCGTCTCATAATATTTGCGGAAATATTAAAAGCCAAAATTATCACAGTTACAAGTCATGGAAACAGAAGCAGATAAGCCCTTTTTTAATTATTGCATTTTTTTCCACTTACACCATCGTGCTATTTTTAGTTCGTCCCCGTTCAAAATTGTCACTTTATGCCGTTTTCAAAATGTTTCTCAACACTTATTGCTGCGACCAATGTCTGGTCTCGCTTTTCAACCGAAGAGCCCATGCGGTCACGTGTTTCGTGACGCAAACAGCTGCTGCGCCAACGAGCGAACATCGGTGCAGTCGAGGAGCCCACCCATCTCTGTTCACCGTAGTGCTACCTGGAGTGAAGCGATGTTATTGTGAACGCAAACGGAAGTCGCGCTCTGGAATGCTACTCCCGCACAGCTGCGATCATTTGTCATTATCTTCGAAAACTGTTAAACCAGAACCTACTTAGAAATCTCAAAACGAACGCATGATCCAAGTTACTGAAGAAGACGGTAACAAGAATTAGGTGTCTAATTGCCAATGATTAATAAATCAACAACCGAGTAATTTAATTTAAATTATAAACACGAAAGATTAATATATTTATAACTGAGTAATTTGCTTTACATTGGAGACAATACAAAAATATAAAAACAAAAGGGGTTTGATAATTTTATTTCTTTATGTAAATTCCTACATGTAACAAATATGTCAACAAAACATTGCAAATCATGCTGGTAACGGTCATTTCAATGATTTAAATAAAAAAAAATATTTAAACATTGGTGAAAAAATTGTTTTTAATCACTTTGTGGAGCAAATTTCAAATTTCTTAACTGATCAAATTGGTTTTAATAGTTTTTCACAATCGTCTACATTGTTTAAAAATCTGAAAAATTATATGTTCTGGAATGTTATAAGGCACACACTAGAGAGAAAACCTGAGACAGTACTCCTACGTTATCATGCCGAAAATCAATTTCAATAATTCGTTAAATTTATTTTCTAGCTATTTTCCCCGTATCTGTAATTTTTTCATACCTGATACTTGCAATAGAAGCTAGGAGAGAGGAGAAAGAGAGAGAGAGAGAGAAAGAGAGAGAGAAAGAGAGAGAGAAAAAGAGAGAGAGAAAGAGAGAAAAAGAGAGAGAGAGAAAGAGAGAGAGAGAGAAAAAGAGAAAGAGAGAGAGAAAGAGAGAGAGAGAAAGAGAGAAAAAGAGAGAGAGAAAGAGGGAGAGAGAGAGAAAAAGAGAGAGAGAGAGAAAGAGAGAGAGAGAGATAGAGAGAAAGAGAGAGAGAGAGAGAGAGAGAGAGAGAGAGAGAGAGAGAGAGAGAGAGAGAGAGAAACACGATTCTCGTATTTATGCAACAGATTGCCTTAGGAGGCTAAGCCAAGCAACAATTACGCTGAGTTGGAGCTCAGTTTGAATGGAAATCGAATTAAAATCAATCGCAGTTTTGTTTTGCAGCGCCATCTGGTGGAATTACAACAAAACTAACAGCACATAAATCTTCTGGGTGATAGAAACGAGTTGATGCGCCAACTTTCATGGAGATCGGTTACACAATGTCGTACGTGGTACAGTGATATATATATATATATATATATATATATATATATATATATATATATATATATATATGTTACATATAACCTGACGGCGTTTTTAATATTTAAGAAAATGTATTAATTATAATTGAGAGAAATATTACCTACATTAAACTTTAATAACACAGGCCTGCAAAATTGAAGTTTCTGAAAAACACAAGATAAGTTTTCGCTGATTTTTGTTATTTGGTGTGCTGATGTCGCTTTTGACCTCCTATTTATTCTGACCACCATTTTTTATCACGTCCGGATTTTTTGTCAAGTTAATATCCATAATTTTGCTAAAAAGAAATTCTCTCGAACAATTTTGTTGTAATATGTGGCTATAGAGATTTTTATCCATGTGAATCTATGTAAAACATAATCAATTCTTGATGAGGAAACTTGATTTTCACCAATTTTATTTTTTATAGGTTTAAAAGGACGGGAATTGCTGATCCCAGATTGCACTCGCCGCCTATGGTCGAGAGAAAAACAAAAAAGTTCCCTTGACTTTAAACTTTCTACTTTAAAGTACAGTGCAATTTCTACAAGAAAATCACCAACATACTGTTGTAATATGTTTTCATTAAGGTAACTCACATAAAATAGATGAATGACCAAGAGAAATGAGTGTATATGAAACTTTGAAACACATTTTAAACTGAGCAAAAATCACAAACCAAAGAGAAAATAGTTTCTATTAATGTTCGTACACTTTGAAATTTCTTTTTGACGTCCTTTTCTTGTTCAATCTCAGGTCTATCTCGTGTTAATATTCAACAGTGTTCGGGGAGCATGTTCTTGTCCCATCTTCCTTGATATTTGTGCCCCCATCCATATCTTTCAAGCCGTGGTGGAACATTTCAACCTGTTCTACGCTTACTGATCCTAAATCTTCAGGGAAGAAGTCCACACGTGGGGGAACGATATGTGTTTTCACACGTGGAGCATCCCAACGGTTGAAATGTGGCCAACATATTCTTAACAATTGCTTTGCACTCAGGATCCTTGTGGTTACCGAAAAATTTACAGACACCTTTGAAGGCAACCCAAGTTTCTTTTTCTTTTGATATTACGCTAGTTTCAAATTCTTTATCCTTCATAAGTAGGGCGGATTTTGATTACCTAAAACATTGCCAAAAATGACCAATATAATGTTATCAAAAAACATTCTACGGTGTTGCAAATTTAATTAATACGTACAATACGTACAAATCATACAATTTTAGAATTCCATATATTTATTATAGAAATTTGAATGGGTTCATATTCTTACAGAAAAGAGAAGTATCGTAATGTTGTTTTGCTTGCCAAAAGACGTACAGAATAATCGTCCAAAAGGTCGTGTAAAATTTTGGAAATTACAAAAGAAGCGGAAATCGATAATTTTTCACATTGCTAAATAATTCTAAAGGGTTCCATCTTTCCTGATTCATCAGAAAGAGCCCTTCCCTGTTTCTAACATTGACAAGACCATTGATTCCTTTTCCACGAAAATAGTTATGTAGCGCGTTAAAGAGAGCGGCGAGAATGGCTTTGACTTGCGCAGTATCAGCGGTGGGAGTGGGATGGCGGCGGGTGTCCTCTGGTGTTTTGAAGCTTAGAGCGTCAGCTTCAGAGGTAATGGCGCAGTGGGCTGGGCATCTTCGTGTTTTCGCAGCTAAACATTTCTTCAAAAGTTACGACTCTGCTATTGCAGTTCGACGGCTTTTGCATACATACTTCGATGTTTCGATACCCGATCGCAACAGGCTATTGCCTTGGGTTACAACTGGATCAGCCGTGAAGCAGAAGTCGCCTGGGCGTTCGCGCTCAGTGCGGACAGCGGAAGAGAACAGAATGATCAGTAACACGAAGAGGATATAATTTAATTTAATATTATTACTACTACAGTGTAGTAAAAGATGTAAACAGGAGAAGGGAAGCCCCAAATACTACGTCGACATTGCTTGGCGTTTTATTTCCCACGCGTCACACGCGGAGGCCCGGCGCCGCAGGGAAGCGCTACTTCGGACAAGGAATCTTGAACGAGGAAAAGCTTTGGACCGAGAGCGTTCAAAAAGAAGGCCTTGTTGTCGTTCATATCGAATCAAGTTACTCATCGAACGACTCTCGTAGTACAGTACTTCCGCAAATGGCGTAGCCAGA